TCACTCCTGCCCTGCTGCCCTGACACCGAAGCAAAGCAAACAGAGCAGCAATGAGTACCACTAAGAGGGACAGCCCCCTCCACCTCCTCTGTGCTTGTGTCAATAGTCACAAACTGTGCACCTGGCACACATGTTTATACTGGCCTGCTGAGCAGGAACATTGCCAGCATCTGCTTTGTGCCTGATGTTGGGTCTCCTAAAACAAGATTTTAGTGGTAGGGCAAGTAACTTCTCAGTTGGGTTTCTTTTTCCATGTCTCCCAGCTTTGCTTCCCAGACTTGAAGAAAATACCATCTCCTGTCACTAAAGTACATTAGCTTACATATAATATCTGTGCTTTAATTTCTTTTCTAAAACACAATAAGAGTAGTTTTGTGGCACAGTTAGGAACAGACTGACAGCCAGACCTCACTGCAGCTATCCTGATTTACACCAACAGGTTATCAAACTCTTTGAAAAGCTATGGACAAGTCTTAACTTTTACCTTCTACACTAACAAAACACCAATCTTCAAAAAAACCCTGTGGCTTCCCTCTATTTTCTGAGCCAGGCACTATACCTAGTTGGATTTTTTACATGCTTTTCAGGATGAACATGTAGATTCATCAAACCAATACTTCCTTTCTCAAAGATCAAGCACTTTTGACAAACTACATGAATTAAAACACTTGATGAATAAATATTTTTAAATCTGTATGAAAAATTCAATTTTTCACATTTGACATTATTCCTAATACTAAGCTGTCTTTTAAAAGAAGCTATTCATCTCCTTTTCACAATAGGATCACCAAAATCTTAAATTCTCTCCATAGACCCAAAGTAATGCTTGAGGGTTTCTCTCATTGCAATTCATAAGAAGCACTCACAATTTAATTTCTCATCCTTACACTACAAGGAAAAGTGTCTTAGAATTTAGGGTTTTTCCTTGAACAAGGCAGATATTTTTCCATCCAGAATTACCATAATTTTGTTGTACTACTCCCCAAATATCAGTCTTTTGTCTCAGTTCATTATCTGTACAACTGAAATAACACTGTCCCTCACCAAGGCCTCCATAACCATAAATGTTTTTTGAGATATTTGTGTATGGGAGGCTTGCAAGCACAAAACTACTGTGAAGATGCCTCCAAAGTCATAGTTAGCCAAGCTTGTATCAAGGGGTGCAAAAATGTGTACAAATTCACTAACTGAATCATAGGGTCCCAGCAGAGTAATAGAGTGAAGCTGAAGTTTGGATACTATAGACTGCCTGAAACTTCAAAAACTTCTTGAGTACCATAGTCTTAACTTTTCATTATTCATTTCAGCATTAGCCTGAAATAGAGATGTCTTACTCATTTTTTGCTTAAGTCTCCAAGAAGGGAAGACATAGCCTTGGAATTAAAAATATCTACATGAGACTATGCAATGAAAATTCACTTTCCAACTCAGCCACAGTTCTTTGACAGTAAAGAAACCATTTGCTTAGTTCCTTAATTTCCCTTGCTTATCTCAGTTCATCAGTCCTACTCAATCATTTTCAATTCTTATGAAGATCTTGTCATGTGCTTCTCAAATCCAGCAGTCTGTATTTGTATGGATCATTCTAGATACTTTCATAAAGTAACTAAGAAAAATAATAGCAGTAATTTTTAGAAAGACACACATACAGATCTTCCTGAAACAGAAATAAAGTTATGTAGTGAGGGTGGGGGGAAAAGGGGGGCAGCACCCACACACTGGAAAGGTTTAAGAGGAAAAGATAAAAGCTGCAAAGGAAACCAACAATCTCTCACGTATAATTACACAGAAGTGGAGCTCTGCTGACTGACACTACGCACCAAAGAGATGCAGTGAAAGAATTCCTGCAGGAACCCCACTCTCTGGAGAGGAGAGCTAGAATGTGAGACTGGCTGCATTTACTCAGAGCAAGGGGTCCCTGCTGCAGTGCCCCCCAGGCTCTGCCCTCCTGTCAGCCAGCTTGGGGCCCAGGCTGTGTCAGAGCTCCCTCACCCCTGCTGGCCCTCCTGCCACTGCAGAGAGACTCAGGAGAGCTGCGGAATCCTCAGACCTGCCCCATGGGGCAGGGATACAAATGAGACACTTGGAAGAGAGGGCATTCCTGGCTTCTCCAGAAATACTGAGCATATTCATAGCAGCCAAAAGTGAGCTGTAAGGAGTGGCTCAGAGGCAGTTCTGAGAGAAACTAGCAAAGAAACCAACTTATTCTTAAATGGTTCACAAAAAGATGCCTTTCAAAATACCATTATCCCTTTGTTCTAGGAAAGTGTCTGTCAACTTCAGCCAGAGACTACCAGCCCTGAACTCACCAAGTTCCCTTCTTCATTGTTTTTCCCTTACAAAACAAAATTAATATAGCCCCGCACAGACTCTGTTCCAAAAGCCAGACAGAACATCTTTCTTCCACAAACCTTTTACCCTAGAAATAGCATAGGAAAAAAGTTCCCCGCTACATTTTGTCCATACAAGTTAAATAAATTAATGTAAAAGCAGAGCAGTCTGAAGAGTTGCAGTGAATGCCTGTGAAATGTCACACTAGAGCTATGACACAACACTGACACCCTGAAACTCTTCTGAACTAGATAATGACTTAGAGAAGTCACTGTAGATCTCATCCTGCCCACAAGGGAAAAATGGCTGATCTAGTACCCCCTTTTACATCTCTCATTCCCCACTCCTCGCCACATTTCATTTTTCCTCTGTTCTTTCAATTATTTGATCTCACAAACTTTATGAAATAGGAAAAAAAAATAGAAATTAAAGGTAAGACTGCATGAAACTTCAAGAGAGCCTGGCTTTCATTCCCAGTGTCCACCACTGGATTTTTGACAGTACTTTGAAGAGAGTAGAGGCTGATAGTTCTTACCCATACTAGTACAAGTCCTAACAAGCCAGGATCTCTATATATCCAAGTCCCCTCTTACCCAACTCCTACAGATTTCAAAAAAGAGGAAGGAATGCTTTTATTCTCCACTCTGGCTTTTGCTCATTCCTCTGCTTCTGTTTCCCCTCTCCCCCATTTCCATTCCAAAAGTTTGCAGTTAAAGGCATTGCCTGAAGCAAGATCACATCTCCAATAAGAGAGGCAACTTCATTACAGTTTAACATAAAAAAATCAGCTGATATCGATCCATAATTTGGACAAGTGCCATGCTATTGACAGGAAGACAAAGTAAGTTAGAATGGCCATGTTTCAAAAATTCTGTATGTACACTCGATCACTAGAGCAGAAATTGCAGTCAGGTATATAATAACACAGCTGTGTTCTCTATTTCCCCTGTAGATCAATGCTAACACGAGGAGGGTGCAGAAGATGGATGTTGCCAACAGAGAACCTTGAAATCCCACATTATGACTTAGGGTGGCTTCATGGATAAAACGTGTGTGTGCAATGGTTGTGTAGTTCATGTGCAAAAGACCAAACTCCTTCCTCAAAATCTGAGAATGCTCTACTTCAAAGTAGTCACTCCTACATTTAAATTCAAGTTACAGAAAACAGAAACTGACCCAACATCCTGCTTTACCTAAGTATCCAGGCTTCAGTCTCACATCTAAGGGAGCCCAGATGGATTACTCAGCAGACTCGGACAACCACAGGACAATACACCTTCACACATTTACAGGTACACAGAACAAATACACATGGACTTTCTTTACATTACTGGACAATCACTCTTCAGAAGATATTTTTTTCACAAGGTAGGTGGTGGCAGGAAAGACAGAATGTTTCTTTCTGATACTTTTTACAAGAAACTGGCTCCTGAAGTGCCACTCAATTTCTAGGGCATGCTGGCTATGTTGCACTAGTAGGATTTATGATCCCAATGTAACAGATGTTTAAACTGGACAGCAAAAAGCAAGTACAGGAACTCGAACACCAAATACACAATCTTCTACCATTTGAGCTCACACAAAACTTGTTACAGTAAATATCTGTTTATTCTCTGTACAGACCAATTAGTGCAGAGAATTAAACAGCCAGACAATGCATTATACTTGCACTTTGCCAAGAGCAGTTATTTTTGAGTACTTAGCTCTGTAAAGGTCAAACTCACACACATCTCTACCACAACAGGGTTGGATCCAATCACAGTTCACGTGGGAGGGTTGCACTAGAGTACAGGCCACAAAAGCAAGGCTAGTGTTCTTAGGAAGTTAGCACTCAAAAAAAAAAACTCAGCCGTGAGACACGTACCTCCACCATTTCTACCTAAAAATCTCTTGTAGCTAATAGCAGGGAAAATCTTATTTTCTCTATAAGCCTGCTATTTAAGACCAACATAACTCACTTAGCAATGCATAGCACACTATTCCTGATTATGTAGGAATACCAAGTAACTGAAGAGAAATAACACGCATCAGTGCCTAGGACTTTTACCAGGATTCATTCCTTCCTCTTTCCTCCAGATTGACATGTATTCATCCTTAAGGCTGAGGACTACAAGCCACACAGTTCACTCAAAACTATGATGTTGCTTTGGGAAATTCCTCCACGTAAAAGGAAATGGATATATGTTTCTCTGCTTTCACTACCCTTTGAGTAGCTCACAGCTTCTTCAGTACTTTGAAGCAACATGTTTGTTTTGCTAATATTACATTACATGAACAGGGAGTACTTTGTAGAAAATGCATAGTATGGGTCACTCACAGAAAGTGATCCATTCCAAGTTGTTCAGTAAAGCAGACTCACTTCCCAGAAAAGATGCTGCCCCATCAAAACTTCATTCCACATTCCAGCCTTGATCTGAATCCAAACTGCACAACTAGCCTTTATCCTGACAACAAGCCAAACCTTTCTTCAGATACCCCTGCATTTTTCTGAGCCACACAATACCCACACTGAGGTTTGTGACTCGTGCCCATTATTAGTTTAGTCAGATTATACAGTTTTGAAGCCTGATTCTCAGCACGATGCTGCAATGTTTAGGAGGTGTATGGGAATAGTGAAGGAGGGGATTGTTAGCTATACTTCTATTGATCACAAACTTTTAAAGACCTACCTGTAGGGCAACTGTACCAGCAGAAACACAGTAAGAGCCACGGGTCTTCATCCTTAAACTCTCCTGAAACCCCATCCAGCGAGCTATAACTGCCCTTTCACCCTGCTCTTCCACCCTCCTTTTGAGCCCATCTGGCTAATAGGTCAGAAGTGGGGACACCTGTGCACAAAGCCATTGAAGTCGGGAGATTATTTGCTAGCTCTGGATGGAGGTTTAGTTCCCATCCGAAGCACCTGCTGCTGGCCTGGCTCACGTGGGGCCCAAACGCAGCACCGGTGGCCCCCGATTCACCTTTTCGCTGTTTGTTCTCTGAGCGTCACCGCAGGGGCATGCGAGGAGCTCGGCCTGTCTCGCTCCCCGGGGGCTTTCCGAGCGCTTTCCTTCCCAGCCCTCCGTGCCGGGATGCTGCCCAGCGGCCAGGCTCCTTCTGCGGCCTCAGAGTGGCATCTAGTGCTCGACTGTGGCACTGCTCCTGCCGGCACCCCCGGGGCCCTTCCCGGCCGCACTGCTCCTGCCGGCACCCCCCGGGGCCTTTCCCGGCCGCACTGCTCCTGCCGGCACCCCCCGGGGCCTTTCCCGGCCGCACTGCTCCTGCCGGCACCCCCGGGGCCTTTCCCCGCTCCTGCCGGCACCCCCGGGGCCTTTCCCTTCTCCTGCCGGCACCGCCGGCGCTTTCTCCCGCTCCTGCCGGCTCCCCCGGAGCCCTACCCGGCCCCACCGCGCCCTTCCCACACACCGGGACAAGGACTTGCTGCTCTGGGACAGCAGGCCAAGCCACTGGGCTGCCTCAAATGACATGAGTGCGCTTCTCTCACACCCTGCAGGGTGAGCTGATGGCACGGGAAGCAATCAAGAACACAGTAAAACGAGAAAGGGAGTGAATTTATCCTCCTGGTTATCCACAGTGTGCTGTATGAAGTGGATCGTTTCTACACGGCCCAACTAGAGTATGGCAAGTTCTATTTAACAGCATTCACCCTCCACTGCACACTTGGTACGGTGGTTTTACAGATACCTATGGAAATTTACAAATACCTATGGAAATTTACAAATTACTTATGGAAATCCACTTGTAATTACTAAGCCTTTCGTCAAAGGCCATGCTTGTTCTCAGGCACTGACCGCACTGCTTGTTCATTGCTGCTCATAATAAATTTCTCTTATAACCCTAATTTTTCAAACTCATTTTTTCTTCTTCTTTTATGTGCCAGTCAAAACTGAAATACAGAACTTTCCAACAGCAGGACATCAAAAGGAGACAAGGAACTGAATGCACTTCCAGGGAGTATTTTCCATATATCCGAAATAACAGCTATCAGAATTTTAAAAACCACAAATTATCGGGAGCTCTTGAGGGAGCTCCTGAAGGCAGCATCCTATTTATTATTATTATTATTGTTATTATTATTCTTTTTACTACATGACCTACTCAAGTATAATTTTATGGTGTATAATTTAATCAGAATGCTCTGCAGGCAGGTACATTATCCCAGCTGAATATGTTTCCTATTTTCAGTTTGCCTGAGATGAAGTAGCTGGATATGTTAAAGAAAAGCTACATAACTGTATAAGAAGTGTGCAGCTTTTTCATATGTTTCTCAGTAGCAGATCTCCAAGTGCTTTAAGAAAAAAAAGTCACATGTTGCTTGCCTTACTTTGTCCATCTGTGAAGTGAGGATAATACCTAAAGGCAGCGGAAGGTGAGGATCAAAGACCGTGTCCTGAGCTTTTTCCAGTACTGAAATAGTTAGATTTTTTTTCCCATTACATCTGAACAAAAGAAACACATCAAAATAAAAGAAATTAGAGATAGCAGTAAGACAGAGTGCTTAAATAGTGTTCTGATCCTCTCCATATTTTAGTTCTGCTAACTGCAAAAGTCAGGCATTTATTATGTAAATTCAGAGACATGTTCAAATATAGCTAGTTACGTAGCATAATTTTCCAGTTCTTAAAATTCCTCTAAATTAGGAAAAGCTTTCACACTTGAATTCTGGCTGAATTAGCTGCTACAAAAAATAGAAGACAAAAATTACTTTCACATATGAATGCAACAGAAGAACAGACCCTGTCAATACTTTTGTCGATAATATGCATGACAAACTAAAAAGCTTCAAATAAATTAAATTTCAAACAGTTTGGCCTTAACCTGGCAAACTGTCCAATATCTACTTTGGCAGATGGCTGAGAAGTATTATGGGTGAGAAAGTTAATCTTGGCAGCAGGGCCTTCATTCACAGGCAAAATGCGAGAAATCACAGCAGTACTGATGCTGCAAATGTCAGTTCCTTCAGAACGACACAACATCCTTTGGTAGCAGACTGTTGATCAGGGCTAGAGATAAGTACTGAGAAAGCCCTTTATCACACGTGCCGAGAAGAGAAGTGAGCATTGTGAGGGTTGCACGCAATGACCATGGCCCAGCCTACCATGGAGCCCTAATGGCAGCACCCACAGGAAGCTGGGAAGAGCTGCCCATCACGGAGCACATGGTGCTCACCAGATCTGCACGGCACAGCATCTCCACATACCTGGTGGCCTAAAAGCTCCTCCCGGCCGTGAGACCATCTGACACTGTCAGCTGGAAAGTTACTTGCTACAACACCACCCACTTTAGAGTTACATCACCATCCTATATAAGAGCACCAATAGCCTTTTGCAGATGAAAAGCCTCTTCAGTGCTCCTCAATATCATCTTCTTACTGCTCCTTTAGAGTTGGCCAAACTGGAGCAGCTCCAGACATCCCAGCCTGTTACAGACTACCTTTGCTCAGTGTGTTATAATATGAGACTGAAAAATACCTTTGTTCACTGATTATTTTGTTATTTCACATCCTCAAAAATGCCCGTAAGTAACACACTTCCAACTGGGTGAGTCAGTGAACACAAATTCCTGGTTCCTTTTTCTGGTTCTCATGAAAGACTCATACTGAGATTTTTGGAAATACATCTCATCACTCCATGCTCCAGCCTTCTGTATATAAAACTGTGCAAAACACAATGAGTTCCGTGACAGAAAGATGACAAATTATTCATTTACTTATTATTCACATACTTCACTGTTTATTTTTAGGCAGATTGCTCATTTCACTGTCACAAAAAAATATTCTTCATACCTGCAAGCTAAACAATCACAATACAGGAACGAAACAGATTCATTTGTCATACACAACCACAGAATTGTCTCTTATTTGACTACAAGACCTTTGTAACTATGACAAGATGTACATGAGAGGAGGCAAAGTGACAAAAAAACCAAGGAAATATTCACTTAGAACTCCATGTTACCAAGAAAGTGTAAAGACTTATAGGCTCTAATAAACCCAGCTGTAACCTAGAGATGCCGATTACTCTACCTGCCAGACTCTCTGAAATTGCAACATGAGTTTTGCCAGGATCAAGGAAAGGAAACACCTCCTGGAGTGCCAAAAAAGGCGCGTTCGTAACGGGCCGAAGGAGCGGAGCGCTCGGGAGCGCGGGAGCAGCGCTCGGGAGGAACGCCCGGCGTTCCGCGGCGCGCCCGGCAGAGGGCGCCAGGCCCCGCTGCCCCGGAGAGCCGCCTGCCCGAGCGCCGGGACAGCGCGGCGGCAAAACCGGGATACCCCGCGGCTGAAAACCGGGGACACCGCGGCTGCAGCGGGAAATGCGGGAGCCGTGGGCGTCTTCAAAGGGATGCTCACACGTTGTTTAAATTTTTGTAGAGCTCTGAATTTGAACACTCATTGCTACTTAAAAAAAAAAAAAAAAAAAAAAAAAAAAAAAAGGACTACTCAAAATACCCTTTCTCTAAATTGCAAAAATGGGAGTCTGTAGAGGACTGAAGATAAACCACAATTAAAATGCAGTTTGGGATAGTATAAATAAAAGCACTGGACAAAACTTAAAGCTGTGTACTGATATTCTAGGCTTAGCAGCAGGAAAGGATTTTAAGCAGTTTCAAGGACACATGAATGTATAACAAGATTAACTGAAAACAAAGGGAAATAAAGCCTAAATATCAGGAAACACATCCCAGTAAAGCGTGCTTTCCTTCAGATTAAGCCCCATCACCAGAGCCTTTCAAAGCTAGAGTATACAGAAACAGCATAATACCCATTGTAGGGAACTCTAAGTCTGCACTAAGCAGGGGGCAAAACCAGGTGGAAGGGGTGGGTACTTTTTTGTTCTCTAATTTCAAGTCAAATATAAAGAGAAGCACATGTAAAAGTAAAATTTCTCACATACAAGAATCATTCACCCACACATTATAATGTCACAGAATAAACCCATTTTGGGTGGTATCCCTGACCATAGTGGGGAGCTGATCTTTAAGGTCCCTTCTAACCCAAACTATTCTATGATTTCAAGTACATTATACAGCAAGAAGTTAATAAAGGGCTGTGGAAGGAACAATTTTCCTCTGGCTTGATTCAACACACTTGGATTATTCATCACATTTGTGAAGGAATATCAATCCTATCAAATAATTAGATGGTGTGTTAACCTTTCTGGTTTGCAACAGCCTGTGACTGACAAGTAGAAGGGTTCTCCAAGAACAATTTCCTGTGCTGTTGTTTCTTTCTGCCTGGACTCTCAATGAAGGGTGTATTTTGTGTGCTTGTGTACAGAATCCCTGTGGAGGTTTTGTTGAGCTTTAGATTTAGATTTCTGTGAATTTAACTTAAAATTGGGGAGCTATTAGATGCCATATTTTTTCTGGTATCTATTACCAGTACTACAAGACCAGTCCTCTTCCATTACTGTAATTTAAAAAATCCCACTTTCTTGGTTTAGAATCCCACTTTGGTTTAGAATGAGGTGGGAAGGTGAAATATCAAATTGCAAAAAAGTACACTAAAAGAAGCCACTGCTTCCTAGTACTCAATGTACACAACTAAGAAGATTAAATAGTTATAGGAGAATCTCAGTGGTATTGTAACTTAGATTTTCTAAGACCTCTGCTTTAAAGTCCAGGGTGGTTTTCTCCTCCCATCATTATCCCAGCTGATGGTCACCTTCAAAGTCTTGGTTGTAGAAAAAAACAACAAACAGCAGTCCAGTCTGTTGTTGTTCTAAAATCTGTTGTTCTGAAATCTGTGATACAAACATCATAGGATTTGTAAAATTTTTTAATTGTCCGAACTGACAGTATCTGAGAACTCTCAAAATGTCTTATGGGCCTCAAGGTTTCCAAGCAAGCCAAGGAAACTACAAAGCAGACTGAGGCTAAACAAATCTAACATTCTGCTGATGAATAGGATGCCATGAACTACCTGGAAAACACTGGTAGAACCTCTTAACATAACATAGTTTAGGAATGTCTGTTCTAATTCAGTTAAGAGTTGTAGAGTGAAGTTGGGTCAAACAGGCTAACTGCAATTGTTTGTCATAGATTTTAAAATTGTTAATTTCTAAGGGCTTCTCCTGGTTTAGGGTGAATTTGGGAAGAAACTTCTGAATGGGATCCCTCTAGAAAACAGATTCAAGCAGCCCCTCTTGGTTACCAGTACAGGAAAGATTTCCTTGGAGAAAAGTGGAAAAAATTCTTTATTTAACAAGACAAGTACTTACAAACATAAAAAATAATAATATTAAACAATGGAATTCCTTGTTGTTCTGAAGAGAGACAAATTCAGAGAGAGCCCAGAGTTCTTTTTGTGGGGTGTAGCTCAGCTTGCTCAGTCTCTTTTCGATCCCTCCTGCTTTGAAAAAGGCAGTCCTGGGCCCTGGTGGGCCACAGGCTGAGCTCCCGGTGCTTTTCTGGGTTTTTGGTCCAAAGCAAGGCTGATCAGTTCCAAGGAAAAGAAAAGCCACTGTCCGGGGAACTTCTCTGCCTCAGCTAGCTTTAAAAACGTTAACTAGAAGCAAAGGAGAGCTTTCTCCTGCTGTCTGTGCTGCAGACAACACAGCTCATGAGAAAGAATGCGGGGGAGAAAGTGCAGTTTCTGCAAACAAACTGTGCGCTTCTTCTCCTCCCCTTCGCTCTCTGAACCAGTTTTAAAGGCACAAAACATATTTCTGGGCTAAACAGACAAATGGGGATAAAATTCAGCATCATAAAGTCACCCCAGAACTGGGCTTACATGTGCTACTTCATTTTCTTCAAAAATTCTCCTTCCACTTCACTGTGATGAAGCCTGTTCCAGAAGCAGCTTCACTCTCAGCATGTTCTTCACACAATGAGTCACACAATTTGAAACCTAGAAATAGTAGGCTTGGTAGAAGATTTCAAACTGTTTACCAAACTAAGGCAAAAACACAGATGGAAGGAAAGATAATAGAGCATACTTGATTACTTCCGGTTAAAGTGTGGATGAATGCAGTTAAAAACAGTCAAAAGCAGCAGAAATTAAAAGCAGTGGATACTCTTACAATGAGGTACATTCATACGGTGTCAGTGGATGAATGTATGTACATTTCAAGAGAAATAAACAACGAAAACAAATAAACTCTGCTCATAGTAACACTGGAGTGAGTGGGATGTTCCCTACCCAGATGGCATTACTCTGGATTTTTTTTTTTTTTTTAATAATTGCCAAAGGCAGAATCAGGCTCATTCGCTGGGTATTTAGAAACACATGACTGAGGAGCATGAGTGGGAGAACAACTATGCCTCGCTGCTTTAGGGTTTTTCTGAAGAAGCACCTGGCATAACAGAGTTATTTCTCCAAAGGTGCTCTAGGGAGCACTGCGTTGTCACACCAGGCAGAGCAGCGAGCAGCGAGCCTGACTGGGGACGGGCGAGTGCAGACAGCGAGCAGGGAAAGAGCCCCGCTCCTGTCCCCATCCCGCTCTGCTCCTGTCCCCATCCCGCTCTGCTCCTGCCCCCATCCCGCTCTGCTCCTGTGCCCTCATCCCGCTGTGTCCCATCATCCCGCTCAGCTCCTGCCCCCATCCCGTTGTGTCCCATCATCCCGCTCAGCTCCTGTCCCCATCCCGCTGTGTCCCATCATCCCGCTCTGCTCCCGTCCCCACCCCGCTCGTCGAGCCTGGGTGTGCTGGGTGAGTCTTTAGCCAGGAGACTGCACTGGGCGGCAGCTTGGGGAGCATCCCGTGAGAGAGCTCTGGCTGAACGAATGGCTTGGCAACCTGGCCCAAACACCAGTGGTTTCCTGCTACTCTCAGTAGGAAACGCGTCTCTGGCACTTGGCAGCGAGAAGAGCACCTGGGAGCCTTTCCCGGGGTGGCTCCGCCAAGCGCTCCCATCCCTCCCGCCG